TTTTCAAGTAATTAGAAATGTCAAAAGATTAAAAAGTGAAATTTCTTACAAAAATTCTCAAGAACAAGTGCAAACAAGAATGGAAAATTATTATAATGTCAACGTTTTAAGTGAATGAATTGTTTTTTTTAAATTTTTTATTAAATGTATTTTTATTATCATCATTACTATTTGCACTCGTATTAAAAATAAAATTAATTTTTTACGTAACATGTATCACATGATTTAATCAAAAATTCGATTTTTTACTATTACGGATATCTCGGTATTACAGATGACTTGGTATAGCAGATAAATTTCCTGGAACAAACATATCCGTTATACCGAGACTCACTGTGTATGTTGAATGAATGCTACATCTAAAAAATAATTTAAAGGGAAATAAAATATTATTAATTAAAAGGATCAAATTTCTGGGTTGACAAAAAATTTAGAATTAAATAATCAATAAATTATATATTGAATGATACTTATCTTATTACACATGATTCAATCATCTTCATATTTGCTTGTTGCTGCTGTTCCCTTTCAGATTGTCTCTTCTGCTTCACCATTGTCAGCTCCATTGTGGATATCTTACAAAATCAATAGTAATTTTTCTTTCATTTAAAAAGTTGTTCTTCAAGGGGATTTTCATTTTCATGTGTTGTAAGTGTTTTTATAAATTCCACAACTACTGAATTTTGCTTAGCAAGCCATTCAGAAGTAGAATATCCTAAAAGACTATCTAAGCTAAATCAATCCTGATCATTAATTATAATCTACTCTGAATTCTTTAATTTTCTCACTGACTCTGATAAAAGATATTCAAGATATTTATTGAGAATACCTGAATTCCCGCTCCATAAATTTTTGTTTCAAAAGATTGTTGAAGTAATGAATCATCAATATTTGTACAAATAGATTTGTGTTGATAGAAAAATTGAAAGTTGGATCAGATGTTTGTAAACATTCAAGGAAATTATCATTGGTGCCCTTCACAAAGAGAATAATTTTCTAAAAATTCTATAATTCTGGGAAATAGTTAGTAAAACATTTTATACGTCCCATTACCAAGCTTACCCCAACATTAATTAAGTTTGGCTTCAACTTTTTTTCAGAGTAAGAACTGCAAATAAGCATGGAAAAGTATTTCTAATGAATCTGATACTGAAAAGAACAAAGTTTGGCATAAAGGCAAAAAATTTAGAATTTTTTTAGGAAAAATGAAAAGTATATGAATTGATCGACAAGGTGGCGTAAAAAATTCTTGGATAAATGAATGACTTGAACTTTATTAAGCAAAGCTTGTGCCTTGATCAAATCAGTCATACGTATTGAAAAATAAAATTTTTTTGTATACTAATATATATATATATGCATGCCAAATTTCAAACCCTGTAGATCATCAAACAAAGAAAGTCGGTGTTTAACAATGCAATAACCATAATTATTTGTTCAATATTAACATTTTATCTTACTAATTCATTTTCATCCATTTATACTCACAAAATACTTCAAAGGCAATGTTAACAACAGTAATGATAATAAAAGTAATTCTTTCACTCATACTGAAACTGTCCTATTCTAAGAGTACTTACAACTTACTCTCTCGCAAATAGGTGGTACAGGCAATAATTACCTAAATTTACCACAAAATGTATCATACCAAGGGTTAAAAAACGGGGGCCGAAAATCAAAACCCTGAAACGCCTTGTTCTCCGTTGATCGGTGCAACCTGCTTGTCCTCTCAAAATAATTACTATTACTATTTTTATTGTGTGGTGGTTTTTTTTTTTTAAGCTGCTTTATTTGTCTTTTTATTATTTAATTATTATTCCCTTTGCTTTTAAAATTTTATAATAATTTAAAGCTATAATCATTTTTC